TTACTGAGTGACAGTGTGAGGGAGAGGGATTAACATCAGTAGGGATACAGTCAGTAACACAGGCGCTGGGGGGGTGGAGAGGGGTTACTGAGTGACAGTGAGGGAGCGGGATTAACATCAGTAGGGATACAGTCAATAACACAGGGCGCTGGGGCAGGGAAGAGTTCCCTCGGTAGCTGCTCTTCATCAATCCCCTGTTGTCTCCATTGATGATGTTCTATTTTATATATTTTAGGCTGAATCTTCCGCTGTGAATTCTGCCACCAGGAGACTCTCAAACTCCATTGAGGTAAAGGACTATGCTGCCCAATCGAGTTGTTATTCCCTCAGTTCATGGCTCCAGTCTCAATCGAAGGTTTAAATGGGATGACCAGTCCCTGTGCCTTGTTTAGTCAGTGCTGACTCTCCCTCCCATGTTGAAAGTTGTCCAGAGAGAGTAAAGTGGCAAGTCAGTAAAGGAGAAGGCTGCAAATCTGAACCCACTGATACGACAGCAGGAGTCTGAATATCCTCTTAAAAGGTAGAAAGTGGCACAGAGATTTGAAGAGTGAGATACAGCGAGAGTTAAAGACAAAGGGAGGGAGATATTGAGTTACGGAAAGAGAAGTAAGCCGAGAAAGAAAGGAACAACTTTCCTGAAAGAGATAAAATGAGAGGGTCAGGAAGGTGAAGCGAGATAGAGATAGAGAGGTGCCTTGTCAGAGATTCCTAAACAAACTAACAGCTCATGGTGAAGTGGGTGACATGTTGGATAGAAGATTGGTTAGCAAGTAGGATGCTGAGGTTTAAGGTGAATGTGTCATGTTTGGGTTGGCAAACCTGAACTGGTGGAGTGTCACGGATTTGGATGATGGGTCTGAATAAAGAGTGATTAATTTACCAAAGGCACAAAGAAAGGTGTGAAAGTATGTTGTCATGAGGATTAACGGAGAAAGCAGGAGCAGGAGGAGGCCATTCAGCCCCTCGAATCTGCTCTGCCATTCATAATGATCATGGCTGGTCATCCAACACTGTAGCCTGTTCCTGCTTTTCTCCCTTATCCTTTGATCCCTTTCGCCCCAAGTGCTGTAATCCAAATCCTTCTTGAAATTGTACAGTGTTAAAGATTAAAGCGTCTACAAAGGGATAGGGTGGGTGAATGGACAGAAAAGAGGCAGATGGAGTAATAATGTGGGAAAGTGTGAAGTTGTTAGGAGCAGGAAGAATAGAAAAGCAGTAGTTTATCTGAATGAAGAATTAATAAAAGGATGCACTCAGGGTCAGAACACTACAGGGACTCGAATCATTCTTGGGCTGAAGCGCATATCTCATACAGGAAATTTGAGCAGCTTGGGCCTATTCCCACTGGAGTTTCAGTTAATGAAAAGTGAGCTTCTTGAAAGATGAAAGATCCTGAGGGAACCAGGTAAGGTGCACACGGTGATGATGTCTCGTGCAAGAGACGAGAGCTAGTGAACACAGCGTGAAAATTAGGGATTTCTCTTTACATTGGAGCTGGGGAGAAATGTCTTGCTCTTTCTTCCATCAAAGAGACCAGAGCTGTACATGGTACTCTCACCAATGCATCACACAGCTGCAGTAAAACTCCCCCTTACAATAAACACCAATGTTTGATGTTGCTTCCTCACTACTTGTGTTACCTAATTTTGAGAGTCATGTATCAGGACACCCAGAGTCCTCCGTACCACAGGGTTCTGTAATCTCTCTCCATCTAAATTAACTGATGCTTTTTTGTTTTCTATTCTGGAGAGAAATGTTTTGCTGTTCCCCACAGAGCTCTGGAGGCTGCATCATTTAATGTACTCAAACCTGAGTTTGGTGGACAAAGGAATCAAGTTTACTGGGGGACAAACAGAAATGTTGAGTTTGTAATCACAAGACCAGCCATGATTTCATTGAATGGAGCAGGCTTGAGGGCTGAGGGCTTGTTCCTAAGCTCGATGTTCCTATGGAGAGAGTCAGAGAGAATGAAAGAACCGGGATGGTGAAGGAAGAGACAGCTGGAAAGAGAGAGAGAAAATGAGGAAAGTGGAAGGAGAGAAAGACAGAGAGGCAGGAAGACAGAAAGAAGGAGAAAGATGAAGAGAGTGAGGGAGAGAAACAGGTAGAGAAAGAGGAAGATAGAGACTGGTAGAGAGAGTGAGGTGATGGGAAGAAGAGAGATGAGAGAACAGAAGTACAGAGATGAAGAAGGACAGTGATAAATGGAGAGAGAGATGGTCGGGGAGATCTCAGTGAGAGTGAGAAACCCAATCCCAGACATAAAGCCACTTAGAGGAGAGGCAGTGAGGTTACAAAGAAACAGGGCTGTGTGTGCACTACAGGCACACCTTAAGGTACATTGTGACTTAGTGTCGGGGAATGAGCCTTTGCCGACCAGTCTCACGATACCTGTCCTCTGGGTCTTCTCTGTTTATTGTTACAGGTTTCACTCGAGAAAGAGCTGAGCCAGTTGGAAGCTCAGTTGGATTCTGATCTCCAGAACCTAAAGCTGCAGCTGGCGAAGAGAGACGGGAAGAACCAGGTACAGATCTCCCTCATTCATCCCTGAGACTGCAGGCCACTTACCGTTCGATCCTGAACACGCTTTCAGCTCATCCACTTCCTGTCTCACAAAACAGTCCTTGCTGGTATCTGGTCATTGTCCCTGCAGAAACGTCAGCTCATACTGAAGCATCCTGCCAGGACCCTCTCTCACACTGACCACTGGGTCAGCGCTCACTCTCTGCGCCCACTGACTGACACAGGCTCTGTGCTGTGAACCAGCACTCTCATCCCAGTCTTCAAATCACTGCATGGTTTCCCAGCTTCAAAATCCAGGGTTTTATCATGATCTCAGAACTCATTGGATTGAAGCTTTTCTGATGTGAATCCTTGGTAGTTTACTGGACATTGGCACACGTGTTGAATGTGCAGTTATAGCAGTCTAGCCCTCACTGCGGGGCAGACCCTGTCTCAGCATCGGATCTCTCTGACCTGCTTGGTGCAGTGTGCTCTAGTGAGACCATCGTATCATAGAGTCAGGCAGCACAGAAACAGACTCTTCGGTCCAACACGACCGTGCTGACCAGTTATCCTGAACTGAACTAGTCCCATTTACCTGCATTTGGCCCATATCCCTCTAAACCTTTCCTATTCATGTACCTATCCAAATGTATTTTAAATGTTGTATTGAAAATAACAAAAGCTGGAGATCACAGTGGAGGGAGAGCAAGCTAATGTTTCAAATCTGGATGACTCCTCATCAGAGCTGAAGTATTTTAAATGTTGTAATTGTAATTGCCTCCGCCATTTCCTCTGGCAGCTCATTCCATCCACGCACCACCCTCTGTGTGGAAAAGTTGCCCGTCATGTCCCTTTTAAATCTTGCCCCTTTCACTTTAAGCCTATGCTGTCTATTTTTGGACTCCCCTACCCTTGGAAAAAGACCTTGGCTGTTCATTTTATCTACGCTCCTCATGATTCTTTAAACCTCTATAAGGTCACCCTTCAGCTTCTGACGCTCCCAGGAAAAATGTCCCAGCCTAGCCAGCCTCTTGTTAGAACTCAAACCTTCCAGGCCTGGCAACATTCTTGTAATTTTTTTTTCCTGTACCGTTTCTCATGATAGCAGGTCCTTGTCATTAAGAAGAGGCCTCCATAGCAGCAGTTCCATTGACAGGTCGGGGATTGGTACAGAGCTGTTCCCTCTCACTCTTTCCAGAGCAGAAGCTGCTCTGCTCACTAGTCAATCCCACCTTACTGGGTGGTGCTTCAGGCACTTCTCAGTATTAATCCTTTCAGATCTTTACTCCCTGAGACAAGAGTATGCCTCCAGCCACCTCTCTTTACTCTCCTCTCTTGTGGGCACAGCAGAAAACCCACATCTCGAACCATGGTCACCTGCCCTATCTCTCTGGCTCAATGTCAATTCTTGCCTGGTATTATTCCTGTGAAGACCTTTAGAGGTTTGGTGGGAATCTTTATTACTTTGGAAGCGCCACGTGAAAACAGCTTTATTCCTTCAGTGAATGGGGCAGAAATGAGTGTTGAATCTCACCGTGTCCCTTCAGCATTTGGAGCCCCACACACTATCTCTGCCAACACATGCCCGTCCCCCTACGCACCGTACAACAGCAGCACAACCATTCTCACTAACTTCAGTGGCAAGGTATTGCTCACCCGGTCAAACACTGCCAGGACAGGGACAGCACAGGGTGAGATAGAGATGTGCTGGCAGCTTCTTTATTACCCAGGGATGATATCAGGTGGAGTTTAGGACCCAGTGTTGACTTGTTGACTAACTGTTAGTAACTGACAGCTTCCAAGAATTCCCCATTCCAATCATTCCACTCTGTCTCCTTCTGGGTTCCGGACTTCGGTCTTTCAACACTTCTCCGTCTGCTCTTTTTCAGGAAAACGCAGGAAGGCAGCAGCTGCAGGGGCAGTGTACAAGTGTCAGGTGAGTACAGATACGGACACAGACAGGGGCAGGGAAAGGCCGGAAATAAGGTCACGTTTCACCTGGGAACACTGCTAATTGACAGCATTTTGGTGGAATTCTTCCAGCCACTTCCTGAAATTAAGGTGCCTTCTGCGTTTACCAGAAACACAGTCCGTCCTATTTTCAAACAAGTCAATAGAAAGACTGTATAACACTATGTACCTGCTTTAACCTGAGTGTATGTCACAGTGAGGGGTGTGGGGTATATCAGTGTGTTACAGTGAGGGGTGTGGGGTATATCAGTGTGT